AGTTGGGGTACTATTGCTATTCTTCCTCCTTTGAAGGAGCGCAGACTACAGTGGTTTACTATACGGTCCACAGTTGCATGGCCACAATCGCACGACTGTGGCTCGTCGTCAATCTTTCCATTCATGAAGGAAATGTACGCATCAGCTTGTTAATGTTCTGATGTGGTTAATGGTTACACCAGTGTCTTTGAGGAATGTCAAAGCCAGGAGATATGAAGTTTGAGTGGCAAATTAGGTGTTTATTCTGGACTTTCGCGTGGGGCAGAGAGGTTCGTGAGTCATAATTCACGTAGAAAAAAGCACGATATTTCACACTCGTTCACAAAGGTATTTCAATTAACCCACGTCTGTGCTCCCCGCCTTCACCAACCCACACGGACCAGCGTGGCGAGGTATAGCCAACTGGCCCTCATGCGGCAGTGGATTGACAAAAGGACTGCGCCTTGTGCCTTGGTATAATACTGACACAATCGTGTCCTGCGAATGTGTCAGTATTATAAGTGAAAAGTTGTGGGAAACTGTGACAGGACTGTCGCTATTGATGTTTAAGCAGTATTAAGATGGCACTCCATTGCGTCTTTAAACGGTGCAGTTAAGAACAGGAAGCAAACACCATCCCCATAAAGTGGATTTGTGAACTGTCTACCTCAATGTTTACAAGTAATAAACCTTAAGGCCTCAATCAATACTTTTCTACAGACTCACTATTTGCTTTCTGTGTAGAGAATTCGGCATGTGTATGTAACATACGGGAGCGGTAGTGCAAAACCAGTGACGATTGTCTGAACCACCCATGGGCCTCCCTTAGGTTGGGTCGACTAAGCCTCAAATGAGTACCTGGGGAGACAAAGGCGGCCGGGGGTGGTGCTAGCCACCCATCCCCTCCTGTGCCGTGCTGGCCTTCATCTGACTTACCTAGGTGTTTTGTTTGTTAGTTGCAGCAGCACCATACATCACATATAGTGAGGGAAAAAAACGTATTTGATCCCCTGTTGATTTTATACGTTTGCCCACTGACAAAGAAATGATCAGTCTATAATTGTAATGGTAGGTTTATTTGAACAGTGAGAGACAGAATAACAACAACAAAATCCAGAAAAACGCATGTCAAAAATGTTATAAATTGATTTGCATTTTAATGAGGGAAATAAATATTTGACCCCTCTGCAAAACATGACTTAGTACTTAGTGGCAAAAGCCTTGTTGGCAATCACAGAGGTCAGACGTTTCTTGTAGTTGGCCACCAGGTTTGCACACATCTTAGGAGGGATTTTGTCCCACTCCTCTTTGCAGATCTTCTCCAAGTCATTAAGGTTTCGATGCTGACGTTTGGCAACTCGAACCTTCAGCTCCCTCCACAGATTTTCTATGGGATTAAGGTCTGGAGACTGGCTAGGCCACTCCAGGACCTTAACGTGCTTCTTCTTGAGCCACTCCTTTGTTGCCTTGGCCGTGTGTTTTGGGTCATTGTCATGCTGGAATACCCATCCACGACCCATTTTCAATACCCTGGCTGAGGGAAGGAGGTTCTCACCCAAGATTTGATGGTTCATGGTCCCGTCCATGGTCCCTTTGATGCGGTGAAGTTGTCCTGTCCCCTTAGCAGAAAAACTCCCCCAAAGCATAATGTTTCCACCTCCATGTTTGACGGTGGGGATGGTGTTCTTGGGGTCATAGGCAGCATTCTTCCTCCTCCAAACACGGCGAGTTGAGTTGATGCCAAAGAGCTCCATTTTGGTCTCATCTGACCACAACACTTTCACCCAGTTGTCCTCTGAATCATTCAGATGTTCATTGGCAAATTTCAGACGAGCATGTATATGTGCTTTCTTGAGCAGGGGGACCTTGCAGGCGCTGCAGGATTTCAGTCCTTCACGGCGTAGTGTGTTACCAATTGTTTTCTTGGTGACTATGGTCCCAGCTGCCTTAAGATCATTGACAAGATCCTCCCGTGTAGTTCTGGGCTGATTCCTCACCGTTCTCATGATCATTGCAACTCCACGAGGTGAGATCTTGCATGGAGCCCCAGACCGAGGGAGATTGACAGTTCTTTTGTGTTTCTTCCATTTGCGAATAATCGCACCAACTGTTGTCACCTTCTCACCAAGCTTCTTGACAATGATCTTGTAGCCCATTCCAGCCTTGTTTAGGTCTACAATCTTGTCCCTGACATCCTTGGAGAGCTCTTTGGTCTTGGTCATGCTGGAGAGTTTGGAATCTGATTGATTGATTGCTTCTGTGGACAGGTGCCTTTTATACAGGTAACCAGCTGAGATTAGGAGCACACTCTTAAAGGGAGTGCTCCTAATCTCAGCTCGTTACCTGTATAAAAGACACCTGGGAGCCAGAAATCTTTCTGATTGAGAGGGGGTCAAATACTTATTTCCCTCATTAAAATGCAAATCAATTTATAATATTTTTGACATGCGTTTTTCTGGATTTTTTTTGTTGTTCTGCCTCTCACTGTTCAAATAAACCTACCATTAAAATTATAGACTGATCATTTCTTTGTCAGTGGGCAAACGTACAAAATCAGCAGGGGATCAAATACTTTTTTCCCTCACTGTAGGAGCAATCCTAACACCCAGCTACACATTTGCAGCATTCAATCCACACTTATCGTTATCGGACACTCCTGAAGGCCCCCACCTCTTTTACCTCTTTTTGCCTGCTTTCGAGCATTGCAATGTAATTATTATTGTCATTTCAGTCTGTCCTCGCGTTGTTTTTAAGTTTATAACATGAATTTGTATGGGTTTTTTGTTGTTAATTGTAAGATAAATTAACAGGAATAACATCAAAGGGCAAATCTCTACTGTCATCCAGTCTATTGTAATGTGGGTAAAAGGGCTGTAAGTTGTCATTCAAATCCGTGATGTATGCTGTTGATAATAAAAGCGAGTTAAGAGACTTCTCGCAAATAATTGCACATTACTGATTAACAGCCATAGTTACGTAAAGCAAAAACAAGGCAGCCACAAACAAGAATATAGTCCTAAATTAATATACCAATTTACTGTACCATGTTTAACTGTTCTAGAGTTAATTGAATAGACATCAGGACATCTGTTACATCTCTTGAGTTGTTTTATTTGACACAAGTTTGTGATTGTTTTGGCAACGGTTGTTATCGTTGAACCAAACAGAACTGTCCTCATGCACTCTTGTTCAATTATCCCATGTGCCTGTCATGGTTCTTACACACGGCCAACAGTGACGCTCCCTTCTACAGCCAACCCAGACGGGACATGGCAGGAAAGTTTGCATTTAATGTCGAGTTTCAAGACCCTTTTTGCAATGCTTCCACCTGGACCGCTTGCCGTGTTCCTCTCTCTGCGTGCGTTATTTTGCACCAGGGAGTAGTAAACCGGTGTCCCAAGAGACAGCCGTAAACAATCTGGAAAGAGAGACTCCCGGCCTACTTTCTGTACTGCCGCCACCTGCTCGTGTTGTAGTCCAGCAGGTCAGTGCATGCACGTGTACAGCTCTTTTTGTCAATCCACTGCTGGATGAGAATCTCTCCATGACGTGCGAGCATGGGGTTTATTTAAACATACTTCACCACTCTGGCCGAGAGCAGGTCAGTGAAGGTGGGGAGCATAGATGCTTCAGTATAATACAGTACAACATCGCATTTTGTACATGTGCAGCTCTTTGTCAATTCACTGCTGGATGAGATCCTCTTCGTGCCATGTGAGTCATGGGAGTTATTGGAACATATTTCTCCACCTTGGTCAGTGTGGGATGCCATCTGCTGACAAGGTAGCCTCGCAGAAACCTACAGCACCTGCTTTGTACCTGGTGGTCGCCCGTACAAGCACCATTCTGGCTCAGGCCTGCTTAGATTCTGAGATCTGACAAGATCGGGAGCATTCCTGGTAATTTGTTTGTATGCCAGGCTGCGTCTATTCTGCTAATTGAGATGGAGAGCTCTCGGTGCATATTCTCCATTCATGGCGCTTGGACTCCTGGACTCTTGCACAGCACGAGCTGAAGGCCTCTTGCCTTCAGATATGAGGGGTAATGAAAAAGTCCGTCACCTCGCACACCTGTGACAGAGTGAGTGGTGCTCCGACAAAGGGTGAATGTTAAGTTTAAAGTACCCCTCTTTTAAGGATTACCAATTTTCACATTACAGCACCTCGTTCATTGTAAACTCTTATTCATGTGTTGGCAAAGAGACATACAGCAATCGGAAAAATGCGGAGCAATTAAATCATAAAATACGCAAAATATCAAAGCAATCTATACCAAATAGAACTGGCTCTCAGTGATTTCCACAAATACAGAATCACTTACACAGAGAACTCCTTGGGAGATTGATGAACCAAGTGCATTGCACTTCAAGGGGAAAAATAGAGAAATAAGAATTAATCCACGTCACATTGCTTTCTATCAGATAACGCACATTTCATTCCTAGTGTAATGACATGATGACACCTGCTGGCTGGGAAAGGGAAGCACGGGTACGGGCACGGTTAAGGGAACATCCAATCAGAGAGGGAGAGGTATCTAGGGCAAAGGTAGCAGGTGGGGTTGGCCGAGATACTCTGGGAACCTGCTCGAAGGTTCCACGAGAGGGCGTGGCCAGAGGCGGGGCCTAGCCATGCCTGGGGGGATATAAGGGGGAGCGGACCCGGGGCTCGGAGTTCGTGTGTGGATTCTTGGGTCCTGGCTGCGTCGCTGCTCGCCGACATCTCTCTCCGTCGTCCGGCCACGTGGAAGATCTCCTGCGGGGTTTCCATCGCCGTCATCGTCACGCTGCCAGCCAGCGGTGTAGCCGAGTGAGGGCGGTGGGACCACGCAGAGTGATCGGCTGTGTGTAGCTAGTAGAGACGTTAATATCTAAGTGTTGTACTCAGAGTGAGAAGAATAAGTGTTGGCCTGTGTTGTGCTAAGTGTGAGAAATAAAAGAAGTACCCTCTACACGACGTGTCGCGGAAGTCGCTCATTACACTAGTATCATGGATGTGTGTTGCCTGTGTTTTGTATTTAAACAGCTTTAGGATGAGCAGCAGTGACCATGAAGATGATGGAGAGTGGAACGAAGAAGAGGAAGAAGAGGAGGAGAAAACAGAAGATGCGGAGCAGCTGGCAAAATCAGAGAGAGATGAGGAGAGGAAGGATGTGGGGAGTGGGAAGGAGGAGGAGGAGGAGGAGGGAGAGGAAGGTGCATGGGAGGGAGATGAAGGGGACTATGAGGATGCATTGGCACCGGTTGAAATTCGGGGACCCTTCCTCCCTTGCCCACCTCCCATCTCCTCCCTCCAGCAGGGCTTTGTGGAGGTGTCTGCCAGCCCAGCCTTCCACTGCCTCGATCAGGTAAATGTCAGCTAATGTTAAATGTATGTATGTTGGCCTTCTTTTGCACCTTATAACCATGCTAATCGGAAGAAAGACAAAACGAAAACAAAAGGAAAAAAAAACACGTCATCATCTTGCAAATAGATATATTGGCTGTGTCCCAGGCTGTACAACACAAATTTAAAGATGTGTTAACAGGACACACGTCTCACAATTAGAACATTGCAAGTTTAAATGTTTCAGTGATAAACGCAGTCTTGTCATCCTTCCAGGGTAGATAAAATGCATGCCACTTTTCAGAGGCACAGATACAACCCGGAGTATTATTATTTTGAGAGACTGCCTCCCTCTCATGGAATGTTGAATTTTCATCACAAGCTCTGGACCATTGTCAGAGCTAAGCAAAGCCCCATCAATTGTGCTTGTATAAAAACTAAAATGTACAAATTTAACACATATACAGTTGAACACCCTAATCCCGTATTGGATCTGCTTGTGTGTCAGCTGTTTCACACAGGCCAGATCACGGGTGCACGTGTTGCACAACTCAAGGAGCTGTACAGCCGCTTGCAGGAATCATTCAAACTGTGAGTCAAGTTCATTGGTTACCAGATTTCACTAAGACTGACTTACTCATTGGTTTTTTTCGGTAAAGTCACGTATGTAGAAATACAATAAAACTATATTTAAACAAAAAACAATCACGACGTTTCGATCACAACGCAAGCGATCTTCATCAGGTGTCAGGAACAAGTCGCGGAGGTGAATACAACGGAAAGATGGGAGACAGGAATTCAACAGACCTGAAAAGCATTGTGTGGGGCACGTCCAGTCGGGCCAACAACACGGTTGGACACTTCCTGGCGGACCACGAAAGCTTTAATACTTTATTAAGACTGACTTGTATCCACTTGAGCTGGTACAAACTTCAATCTCCGCATGGAATGAGAGCATACAGTTGGGTAGAGTGTACAAGCAGCCTTCTGCCCTCTCACATCTGGATACTTTTGTAGAATGTAGTCGAGATGAGGTTCATATATGAAAGATTTCAGCTGTCGATTTTTTTAAATTAACTTTTGGATCGTTTTCAGATTTTCAAATCGTTTATATCGTGTTGTATGTTTGTGCGAATTCAGCTCACAAGAGTGAAGTCATTAGGTACCACATGACACGATTTTTCATGGAAAAATAACAAGTGACATCATATTAGTGGTATGACTTCCCTTTTCGGAATAATTAAAACAAAACAAATTCGCATCCTCTGAAAGTCCCGAATTGCAGGTTTTTTCGGATTAATCGGAAATTGGGGGGCACATCAATAGTATGTATTTACATGCATAGCTACATTAAAATGTATTTATTTTTCTCAATATAATCCGAACATCACGTCATACAACTAAGATCCCTAATGGAACTCCCGCAGAGCAGTGCGACCCTTCGTGTTACAGGACAGCCCACGGAAGTGGATATCACACTACCTTGGAAGGATCTCTCCAAATGATGTCTGGTCCACACAGTAGGAGGCAGCACATCCCCACCCACTCTGCCACCAAGTGTATTGTTTGCCACATCACAGTCAAACCTAGAATTCATCCAAATTGTGTGCAGAGACATGTTTAACAGTTTATTTTCGTGCAGTCATTGGTGACTGAGCTGAGACTGTCAACTCACTGCACTTGAGAATTTGGTTGTGCCGGCTCAGTGCTCTGACCTCCAGTTACATTTAAATGCATAACTGCATCTAAATGGTCACACAGAGTACAATTGTTAATTATTTGTAAATTGACTATAAAATGTAATGGTACTAAGTGTTTATCACAACAGCCTTTCACAATTATGGAAATAAAAACTACAAAGTGATTGGTTTTCAAGTGTAGCCATTTTATAGTGTATCAATCTGTACCAGGAGTGTGGAATCAAGGGTTGATGGATCGTGTAGATTTGCTAAAATCCCAAATCCAGCCAACTGTGAGCTGGCTAGACAATGGAAATACAGCAAGTGGGTTTGTGAATGCATTTGTCAAACCTTTTGAGTGTTATCCCTAAATTGTATTGGTTTTCTCTGGGTACTCCGAAAAATAAGTCCAATGCAGGTATTTCTTGAAACAGCCTTGAGACTCACTGTGTCTCAGATTGTCCACGATAAAAAAAGAAAATCCTCGTCACCAGTGATTGCACAACATTAGTCCCTGCGTTCATAACGCAATACACTAACCACTCCAGCCTTATATGTTTTATTTCTGTGCACATGCAATGTACATATACAGTGAGGGAAAAAAAGTATTTGATCCACTACTGATTTTGTACGTTTGCCCACTGACAAAGAAATGATCAGTCTGTAATTTTAATGGTAGGTTTATTTGAACAGTGAGAGACAGAATAACAACAAAAACAAGAAAAACGCATGTCAAAAATGTTACAAATTGATTTGCATTTTAATGAGGGAAATAAGTATTTGACCCCCTCTCAAGCAGAAAGATTTCTGGCTCCCTGTCCACAGAAGCAATCAATCAATCAGATTCCAAACTCTCCACCATGGCCAAGACCAAAGAGCTCTCCAAGGATGTCAGGGACAAGATTGTAGACCTACACAAGGCTGGAATGGACTACAAGACCATTGCCAAGCAGCTTGGTGAGAAGGTAACAACAGTTGGTGCGATTATTCGCAAATGGAAGAAACACAAAAGAAATGTTAATCTCCCTCGGCCTGGGGCTCCATGCAAGATCTCACCTCGTGGAGTTGCAATGATCATGAGAACGGTGAGGAATCAGCCCAGAACTACACGGGAGGATTTTGTCAATGATCTCAAGGCAGCTGGGACCATAGTCACCAAGAAAACAATTGGTAACACACTACGCCGTGAAGGACTGAAATCCTGCAGCGCCCGCAAGGTCCCCTTGCTCAAGAAAGCACATATACATGCCCGTCTGAAGTTTGGCAATGGACATCTGAATGATTCAGAGGACAACTGGGTGAAAGTGTTGTGGTCAGATGAGACCAAAATGGAGCTCTTTGGCATCAACTCAACTCGCCGTGTTTGGAGGAGGAGGAATGCTGCTTATGACCCCAAGAACACCATCCCCACCGTCAAACATGGAGGTGGAAACATTATGCTTTGGGGGTGTTTTTTCTGCTCAGGGGACAGGACAACTTCACCGCATCAAAGGGACGATGGACGGGGCCATGTACCATCAAATCTTGGGTGAGAACCTCCTTCCCTCAGCCAGGGCATTGAAAATGGGTCGTGGATGGGTATTCCAGCATGAAAATGACCCAAAACACACGGCCAAGGCAACAAAAGGAGTGGCTCAAGAAGAAGCACATTAAGTTCCTGGAGTGGCCGAGCCAGTCTCCAGACCTTAATCCCATAGAAAATCTGTGGAGGGAGCTGAAGGTTCGAGTTGCCAAACGTCAGCCTCGAAACCTTAATGACTTGGAGAAGATCTGCAAAGAGGAGTGGAACAAAATCCCTCCTGAGATGTGTGCAAACCTGGTGGCCAACTACAAGAAACGTCTGACCTCTGTGATTGTCAACAAGGGTTTTGCCACCAAGTACTAAGTCATGTTTTGCAGAGGGGTCAAATACTTATTTCCCTCATTAAAATGCAAATCAATTAATAACATTTTTGACATGCGTTTTTCTGGATTTTTTTGTTGTTATTCTGTCTCACTGTTCAAATAAACCTACCATTAAAATTATAGACTGATCATTTCTTTGTCAGTGGACAAACGTACAAAATCAGCAGGGGATCAAATGCTTTTTTCCCTCACTGTATGTGTGTACGTATGTGTGGAGCTGCGGCGGTAGTGGTTAGCGAACTGTGCTATGAACCCGGCGATATAGTTTTGATTACCAACCGTGGTTAACACAGTAGCAATTAACCGAACCGGTCCTGGGCCTCACCTCGGTTGACTCAGCCTTAAATGAGTACCTGGTACAGTGTGTAAACATCAGCACTGTGGGGAGACGAGGTGGCCAGGTATGGTGCTGACCACCCTCCCCCTCGTGTGCCATGCCGGCCTTAATAGGTGCTCGCTAACAGCCCTTGCCCCAACAGTCTATTAAGGCTACATTACAATAAAAAATTTGAGAAAATGGACCCTAAATGTAGAGTGCCAGACCACAACCCTATACAGCATTTCCCACAAACCACTGTAAAAAAAATTACATTTGTAAATATTTATGTTGGCTGATTGAAAGCCATGTTACTACCAGAAAGGACAAAGGGCTATGCACTCTGTGCTTTAAAGCGACTGCTGTTTGCAACGTTTAATGTCTGAAAGGCTGTACGTGGCATTCCTGCAGAATAAAGGTCGCTCACATTGACAGAGACATACACTGTGGCAGACTTAATATATATATACTTTTGCAAAAATACTATTGAAGCTTCACACACAGCTTGCACTACACGAGCCAGTGGTGTAACAGAATCACAGTGCACACAGCTGCATGACAAGACCTGGAGTGTGTTTTGTTTTTGTAAACTTCTACAGTTGCTGAGCATGCGCCCAAAGGCCCAACACGTCGAGCAGCCAGCAATAGACAGCACAATCAAAGTTGTAATAGATAAGAGTGTAACGTATGTATGTTGAACTTCTTTAACGCTGTACGTAGCCAACCGTGCTAATGTAAGTGTGGAATAACGTTTCTGAAATTGAACAAAGTTATTGTGATAAGAGCGTGGGAAAAAGAGACGATGGAAGGGAATTGCAAAGTGGAGTAGTGAGAGGGAGGAGGTGGAAAGTGCATTGTTGTGACCTTGCAGTGTCATGAGTGTGGGTGTGAGTGTGTTGTTGTGACCACAGTGGGGAGCGGGAGTGTGGCGGTTAGCGCGCTGCACTACAAATCCAGCCACCAGAGTTTTATTCCGACTCACGGGCAACACCAGTGACGCATATTTGAACCAGTCCTAGGCCTCCCCTAGGTCGACTCAACCTCAAGGGAGTACCTGACGCGGTGTGTAAACATCGCCTCCTGGGAGACAAAGGTGGCCGGGCGTGCTGCTGGCCACCCACCCCTCGTGTGCCGTGCTGGCCTTCATAGGTGCTCGCTAACAACACATGCCCCAAAAGTCTGTTAGGCTTTACCGGGGATCTTTGTCTTTGTTGTTGTAACGTGCAGTGTGGTGGTTGAATAAATTGTGGATGAGATGAAATACTCAGTCTGGCAGACCGAGCCCTCAACATGTGTGGAGAAATCAGTGAGTGAAGTTCATGGGAACAGTAACCATTGTAGCAGCGATAGAAGAGTGACCAGGAGGTGACTGACCGCCGGTGAGTGTGTAACTGGAGGAATTTGTGAATTGTGGGTCATCAATCACTTAAGATAGCTAAAATTAACCTAAGCTATATTTTTTTATTTTACCAGATATAGCCTACTGAGCTATTTGATTTTTTTCAGAAGTGGCCTGGTCATAAATGATAGCTCAACCATATGGCTTATCAAGTGGAAATCACACCCTACCGTAAAAAAACCTGGCAAGACCCTCCTCAATAGCAGTCTTCTTTTTTCTAATGGCAGGATAGAGAAGCAATGTTTTTGAACTGCGTTCTCGTTGAATATAGATTTTTTTTAAACCAATCGAAGGAGGCTGAAGTAGACGTTTTTTGGACCACAGCGACACCGCCCAGGATGTGACACGGACAGTTAGTTCGTCGGTGAAGAATTTGATGGTTTGGACTTCACCACGGTTGCAGTTTGGCGATTCTGTGATGATGGTCTGTTTGTGAAAGGTGGACGTGCGTCTCCCACACTGCGTTCGAGTGTAGTGAGGCCCATAGTGGTTGTTGGAGTGAGAAGCCCGGTTATTCCAGTTACACCCTCTGTGAGTTTTTGTTGTTTGCGACATCCATAACCGCCCACGGTTTTGTCCAGTGAGTGCCAATGTTTTTACTTTCGGCTGCTAGAGCAGAGGCGCTCAACCATAAATATTTCCTGCATTTCAGCCAATGGCGTAGGTGTTCAAAATATAGGTTTTTGGGTTAGATTGCGTAAATATAAATACGTCAACCCACCACCCAACACAGTCAATTCATAAGGATTGTGTCCGGTGGTCGTGGGTTAACGACACATTTATGTTTACAGGATCTAACCAGAATCCTTTACAATGAATACTATTGGTCGCGAAAGCCCGCGTGTTAACTTGTAGGTGTTGTTGGAGCGGCAGAGCGTTGTTGTCTATAACCTTGTGGTACTCCCTGGTCAACGCAGCATCACGCTGGATATTGGCTGGGGCGATGTTCGCTGCCACGGGAAGCCGCAGGAGTGGAGCGCTGATGATACGAATTTGGGTGTTGATTTCGGTATCGACAAGGTTTGCATGAGAGCCGACACTCCACACGGGAGCGCAGTACGACTCCATTGTGGAGCAGAACAGAGCTTGCGTCGATATCTTTAACGTGCAGGCGTGGCTTCCCCTCGTTCCTGCAAGTTTCTGAATAATATTCACTTGTGTTTTTTTCTTGTTGGCTCATTTGGGCTGGAGGCAGTCGGTGAGCATCCGGTGGAGAGTCACTCCTAGATCCCGGGGGTGGTGGTCATATGTCAGGGGTGTTGTTCCACAGTAGTTGACATTTTTCGTGGCTTGGCTTTTGTCCAGGTGGAAGATGGAGACATCGTGCTTGGAGACATTTGACTTGAAGCGCCAATTCTTAAAATTTGCTTCTAGGGGCTTTACATCTTTACTGAGTACTTTTCCAGTATCCTCTACTGTCCGGGCTTCGGTTACCAACGCGACGTCATCCGCGTTCTTGAACCTGCAGGAGAATGTCACCAGAATGCCGCCGGTTTAGAGATTGAACAGCACTGGGGCAAGAATAGATGCCCGTGGAAGTTTGTTAAAACTTCGTGGACTGCTTGCTGGCAACTTCAAGGTAGACGGTGAACCATCGGTCGGTCAGCGATTGGTGGACGGCGATGTAAAGCTGTCACAAGCTTGAGCAGGAAACCTTTCTGCCATGTGGTATCGTGTGCCGTGGAGAGGTCAATCAAGGCTGTTGCTGTTTTGAGCTGACTTTCGAAGCCTGCCACAATGCAGCTCGTTAAAGCAAATGCTTGATTGCAGCAATGTCGGCCGGTTCTGAACGCGGCTTGTTCCTCGGGAACAATATCCTCAAGCGTAGGCTTCGGCCTTTAAAGAAGGAGTCACTCCAATTGCTATAGCCGACACTGAGGAGGGAAATTGTGCAATAGTTTTTAGCATCCGATGCATCCTTGCCGGGTTTAAGAAAGGCTATAATCTTAGCTGCTTTTCACTCCTGTGGTACCATGTCTGAGGAGTGGATGTTGGTGAGGAAAGTGACTAATTTTTTCCTCACTCATCATCTAATTTCGTGATGAATTCTGGATGAATCCCATGAAGACCTACAGCATTCCCAGATTTCATCTGTACAACACCATCGTCTTTTTCCCCATTGAGCAATGACCGGAGAATGCGGAAGTTTGTTGGCAGTGGTTGAGAGTTCCAAAGAGTTTTTTGTAAACTTGCCGTCTTAATTTCGTATCGATCGCCGCTTATGAATTCCTGATTCGCTGTCCGGCAATGTCGTAAACCAAACATACAATTTGAGACTCAGCTAGGCTTTGCTGGGTAAACAAGCGGAATAGAAAAAATATTATTGTGCAATCGCGTGACGCAGGACCCGCGACTCCGAGGAGGCGCTGCTCCGGGAGACGAAGCGCTACACAGAGGAGCTGCAGGGCCAGAGGGGGCAGCTGGAAAGTGCCGATGCCTTCCCCGACGGGCAGAGCACGGACGTGGGGCGGCTCCGCTCCCAGCTGCTGCGTCACCACAATGCCCTGTCTCAAAGCGAAGAGACCCACACACAGCTGCACTACAAGATCCAGAGGTCTCAGAGACCCACACACAGCTGCACTACAAGATCCACAGGTCTCAGAGACCCACACATAGAATCAAAATATGTACAGTGAGGGAAAAAAGTATTTGATCCCCTGCTGATTTTGTATGTTTGCCCACTGACAAAGAAATGATGAGTCTATAATTTTAATGGTAGGTTTATTTGAACAGTGAGAGACAGAATAGCAACAAAAACATCCAGAAAAACGCATGTCAAAAATGTTAGAAATTGATTTGCATTTTAGTGAGGGAAATAAGTATTTGACCCCTCTGCAAAACATGACTTAGTACTTAGTGGCAAAAGCCTTGTTGGCAATCACAGAGGTCAGACGTTTCTTGTAGTTGGCCACCAGGTTTGCACACATCTCAGGAGGGATTTTGTCCCACTCCCCTTTGCAGATCTTCTCCAAGTCAGTAAGGTTTCGAGGCTGACATTTGGCAACTCGAACCTTCAGCTCCCACAGATTTTCTATGGGATTAAGGTCTGGAGACTGGCTAGGCTACTCCAGGACCTTAATGTGCTTCTTCTTGAGCCACTCCTTTGTTGCCTTGGCCGTGTGTTTTGGGTCATTGTCATGCTGGAATACCCATCCACGACCCATTTTCAATACCCTGGCTGAGGGAAGGTGTTCTTGGGGGAAGGTGTTCTTGGGGTCATAGGCAGCATTTCTCCTCCAAATACGGCGAGGTGAGTTGATGCCAAAGAGCTCCATTTTGGTCTCATCTGACCACAACACTTTCACCCAGTTGTCCTCTGAATCATTCAGATGCTCATTGGCAAACTTCAGACGGGCATGTATATGTGCTTTCTTGAGCAGGGGGACCTTGCGGGCGCTGCAGGATTTCAGTCCTTCACGGCGTAGTGTGTTAGCAATTGTTTTCTTGGTGACAATGGTCCCAGCTGCCTTGAGATCATTGACAAGATCCTCCCGTGTAGTTCTGGGCTGATTCCTCACCGTTCTCATGATCATTGCAACTCCACGAGGTGAGATCTTGCATGGAGCCCCAGACCGAGGGAGATTGACAGTTATTTTGTGTTTCTTCCATTTGCGAATAATTACACCAACTGTTATCACCATCTCACCAAGCTGCTTGGCAATGGTCTTGTAGCCCATTCCAGCCTTGTGTAGATCTACAATCTTGTCCCTGACATCCTTGGAGAGCTCTTTGGTCTTGGCCATGGTGGAGAGTTTGGAATCTGATTGATTGCTTCTGTGGACAGGTGTATTTTATACAGATAACAAGCTGACATTAGGAGCACTCCCTTTAAGAGTATGCTCCTAATCTCAGCTCGTTACCTGTACAAAAGACATCTGGGAGCCAGAAATATTTCTTATTGAGAGGGGATCAAATACTTATTTCCCTCATTAAAAATGCAAATCAATTTATAGCATTTTTGACATGCGTTTTTCTGGATTTTGTTGTTGTTATTCTGCCTCTCACTGCTCAAATAAACCTACATTTATAGACTGATCATTTCTTTGTCAGTGGGCAAACGTACAAAATCAGCAGGGGATCAAATACTTTTTTCCCTCACTGTATTCATACTGGAGGAATCCGATGAGCTATATAGCTATTTTTCACAGATGTCTAGAGACCCACACACAGCTGCACTACAAAATCCAGAGGTCTCAGAGATCTACTCACAGCTGCAATATCAGCCAACACATTACAGATCCTGGGTTTGAATCAAGGTGGCCACTCCATCCATATTCATCAGGTTGTCAAAATGAATTAATTGAAATGTTCAGCCCAGTCAATAATAACTGCAGAATAAATCATATTCACTTTCGGTTTTCACCTAATTTTGCTTGTCCCAGATTTGAGAATCTTAATCAGATGATGTGTTAATATTAAAAGAGGAGAGACAAAGGCAGCCAAATGTGGTCCAGACCTCACCACCTCTTGTGTACCATTACAGTTGCCACCTTTTCCGTAATCCAAGCCTGGACATCTTTCTCATTCATTCTGGATCTGTTTTATGAAAAAGTTCCACACAGTTTCACTAAATCTCAGTACAAACACATTTCTGCCACAGAAACACAGAGCCAATTTAAAGACTGTTTGGGTCAAACCCAGACAGGTGATAACCCTATGTGCCATGCTGGCCTGAATAAGTGCTTGCTCACGGCACTTGTTCATACCATTCGTAAAGCTAGTCAGGTGATCTCTTCTGTTGGCTTCATGTGTATTTAGTACACTAGCCACAATAATAACCGCCATTGGCCACTAAGTGGTGATGACGTCAACACGGCACTTGTGCCAGGCTAGGTGCACTTTGAGGCCACGCGAAGTGTTGAAGGCTCGCTGGCAGGAGGTCACGGTACAGACCCAGGGTCGTGGGTTGACTTCGCTAACTGGCGGATGCACCACCTGTGCTCCCTACTGTGCATTTTAGGCGCCCGGCACTCCGCTCGTTGTGAGCATCGCTCCGCTGCACTCCTCTGATGTCTAAGGGCATCTGCCTCTAACTAGCCCCATACACATACACACGGAGAAGTTAAATGCATTTCTCACGAGATGTGCTGTTTTGTTTTATATCTCAGTTTACAAGATGAGAAGAATTTGCTTCAAAAGGAATATGAACGCATGCCAAAGCCAGGGGTAAGCGTGACACAGGTTCGAATCTGTATCAGCTCTGGAGGAGGGTCATTGCACTTCATATATCATTGCCTTAACTGATGATGGGCAAGCATTTCCAAACTCTTTCAAGTGAATCACCACCATGTATAACAAATGTTAAAGGTTGCTGCAGTTGCTGCAGGGCTATGTCGTGGGCATCAGAGTAATGCAGAAAAATCCATCGTACTGCATTTGTATGCTCCCACACCAATCTACACAGACCAGTGTAGTGAAGCATGCCATTCAAGCCCCACGAGCCCCTGCAGAGTAAGGTGGAGAAAGACGGCAGAAATTGATTTCTACCGTGACCTGGGACTGCTATTGTGTTCAAATTTTATCCCCGTTATCTGCACAGGTTTTGATAATACAGGAATCCCCCGTTTTACGTAAGGGAATGCATTCCTGGGAAATGCTACATAACTCGAAATTACTTAAAGAAAACCTTAATTTCCCATAGGGGTTGCATTACTAGCCGGCATTTCATGAAAAAATGCACATGATTATAAGTTAACATGCATTCTAACTTTATGAAATACAAATAATTGGATACAACTTTCCTGAGATTATTTAAGAGCTTGCTGATCGATACCTCTTGGGGTGAGCAATGTTGGAGTTACACAGACAAAAAAAAGGGGCAGGATCTCCTGGCCCTTCATCTGACGACGAAGCTGGAGCTACAGCAATGTGCACCAGAGGAAGCTGGCTCTCTTCTGGACTCTACTCTGGACCTTCTGGCTTAATTGCAGAACGTAAAAACAAAATCTGTCCAAAGACAGCTGGACACAGTTTATTTCTTCTCTTGGTACAGCTCCTTGTAGTAGTGAATGCCAGTTCATATTCATAGTGGTGGTGATGGTGATAATTGTGGTGGAGGTATCGTTTCATCGGCCTCTCCCTCAGCTCGTTGTTGTTCCAGCTCCATCAGATCCTTATGTGACAACTCCTCACTAGCAATTCCACCACATTGTCTGACTCCTCCACATTGTCATGTAGCAGGCGGAGGCCTCTTCTCGATGTGGTATGCGCTGTGTGCTTTACAGTAGAGTATTCCACAGCAAAATTGTCAGGTCTCATTGCGTGCGTTCCTGGTTTAAAAATTGCGCAAAAAATGTGCGCATATATTTTTAAAAGAACACATGTGAAACATTCAACTTATAAGGAAGTTTGTTCCCTAATTCAACAGAAATGTACGTGCGAAACAGTACATAATGTGTATAACTTATAGCGGGGGATTCCTATAGGCCTAGTGCTCACTGAGACATATGTCTATGTTTGTAAAAGGTGGCAACCCCAGTGGAGAGGCCTTCATTGAGTAATGGATTGACGAAAGGCCGTACGTATACACTTTGACTTTTTTTCATCATTAATTAACGACATCCCCCCCCCCCCCCCCCCATAGGACCTGGAGAGAAAGGCCAAGCTGGTCATGGAGGGCTGCGAAGATCTACGCAGGGAGGTGTCACAGCGCAAGGCAGAGGTGCAGAGTCTGCAGGAGGAGCTGGAAAGCAGGCAAGGGCAAATGATTCGGGATCAGAAGAGCCTGAACCAGCAGAAGATTATGCGGGAAAATCTTAAGGTAACGCTTGCAATGGTGTGCACTTGCACAGTGAAATTGAGGAGAGTGCGTGGAGGGGAGTATGGTGAGATGAGAAGGGAGAGGTAGGGGAGTGCAGGGGAGTAGAGTGATATGAGAAGGGAGAGGTAAGGAGTTCATGGAGGGATGTAAAGTGATATGAGAGGGGAGAGATAGGAGTGTGCGTGGAGGGGAGTGGAGTGAGATGACAGGGGCGAAATAGGAAAGTGTGTGGAGGGGAGTAGAGTGTAATGAGAGGGTAGAGATATGAGAATGGTGGGGAGTAGAGTGAGATGAGAGGGGAGAGATGGGAGAGTGGTGGGGAGTAGAGTGAGATGAGAGGGGAGAGATGGGAGAGTGGTGGGGAGTAGAGTGAGATGAGAGGGGAGAGATGGGAGAGTGGTGGGGAGTAGAGTGAGAAGAGAGGGGAGAGATGGGAGAGTACATGGAGGGGAGTAGAACAAGATGGAGGGGAGTCGGTTGAGTATGTGAACAGCTGCAATGATTCAGTCACTGGGCACGTTCTCCGAGTCTGAATGTGTGCATTTCCACTCGTGCATTGTCGTTTTCCTCGCATCATCTCTTGCAGAATGAACTGGTCCAGATCCACATGGTTCCTGGAGAGATTATGAAGGAAATCAAGGCGGTTGAGCACAAAAAACAGTGCGTGATTCATTCACCTCTGCAAACAGTAATGGCAACACAAGCTCCTTTTCAAATACATCAGTGTCAGTCAGAATTAGCGATCTAGAGTAGAAGTCAAAAGGTGTATTTCTGCGGTGGGGCAACACTCAAACTCCGTTGGCAGGCTCAGAGCCATTTGTGGAAATTTCGCATTACAATGATAGCTGCTGTTGACTTTTCTCAAAGAGTAAAGGGATTCTGTCAAATATTACTCGATACCTGTTCTGATTTGTACACAGGTATCCCTCGATTTACAAACGTTCTATTTAAGAAATGTCACATTTATGCAATTGACAAATTATGGACACTTCGATTAATGAAATCAAATTTTCACATTCACGAAATTTCACTACGGCATACGCCACGAGATCATCAAACAAGAATCGTCATCCACCCGCGACAGTGTCACGGTGTCCCAGCAGCGCAGCAGTGACGCCTCCACGTCACCTTGCCTGTCATTCCAACATGCAGATCTTTTAGTGAGTTCCCTGAAAAGGTTAATAATATTTGTGTACATTTTATAATTTTATTATTTTTATACTTATGTTATTTATTATGATATTTGGATTGTGAATAGTGATATAGGTGTATATTTTTAGGTTAGGAGTAGTTGGAATGACTGTCTGAAACACATCCATAATTTTATGCATTAAATTCATGGGAAAAGCCATTCTGATAGGGGTGAGGCAGCTTTACGATGACGCAAATCCCTCTCGGATATAATCAATAGAACTGTTGAAAGTGTGCATGATGCGTCACTCCTGTGCTGCAGGGAGCAGGAGGAGCGGCGGGCGGCGCTGGAGGCGCAGAGCCGGGATGCCCAGGCAGCACTGGCGGGGGCAGCGGTGCGGGCGGAGGAGGCGCGGCACGAGGCGGTAGCGGTGGCAGAAGAGCTGGACGCTCGGCGTACGCAGCTGGACGCGCAGCGGCACGAGCTGCAGAGGCTGGCACGAGACCTCGCCTTCGCTGGAGAGCGGGAGGCCCAGCGCCAGGGCGACCGGTACGACGCCACAACCCCTGTTCACGGCACCAAGATGAAGGATTGTTCTGGACATCTGCAAAAAAAGCCTCATAGCTTTATCGGATTTCTCAGGGAATAAATCAAGATTCTGATTCTGATTCCCATGTAAATTCACACTTCAACTCAAAAGTTGCAATATGAGTTTTTGTTAAAGGCTGCCGAAATGTCTAATCCAAATCCCCCACGTGGCCTACGTCGACTGTTGGAGAAAGTGCTGTTTACGAGCACCATTGAAGGCTGGCACAGAGGATGAAGCCGTCATATGACGAGCAGCAGGCACTAGTTGAAAACTAATTTGACCTAGGGGAGGCCCAGGACCCATTCAGTTATTTGCCAATGATGTTAGTCATGGCTGGCAATAAAACTTAGGTCACCGCATTCCTAACGCAGTTTTCTAACCACTACACCACAGCTCTCCGTGTCCATACATACATACGTACATGTGCTTATATTAATATGAAATATACATTCCAATAAAAAGTACATATGAAGTACATATGAAGGTCGTAACAGCGCATGGTGTTGTGACGCGTTCCACACCTGGGCACCCTTGTCTTCACATTGCACAAGGTACTCATTTAAAACTGAATTGCCCTAGGGGAGGCCATGGATCATTTAGATGTCACTCGCCACTGATGTTAGCCGTGGACAGGAGTCGAACGCATGCCGCAGGGTTCAATAGCGTACTTTGCCAGCCACCGTGTTACCGCTCCACAGAGACCTTGCTATGACCCGTCACGGCATGCCACTGTCACACAGACAAGCGCTACACAGGGGGTTCCTAACACGACGGTCTGACAGACTGTTATGGGGCAATTGCCACCACCATGAGGAACTGCAATTGATTACAGATTTTACGTGACCTGTATTGGCGGGCTGGTGGAAAAATGTGCGGAACAAGTCAGTGGATCGGCTTGAGAGCTATGTCTTTCCACCACTTTTCCGGGTGTCATATTGTTTACCTTTTTAACCTCACGTTGCTTATCTCGATTGGTGGCCTTGAGTCATTGTTGAAAAGTCCACAATCCTATGGTGGGGGCCGGTTTATCCATTTGACTACAACTTTGACTCTGCATGATGTGGTATTCCTCTGGTCCGATTCCAGGGAGCCAATGATCCGAGTCTACCCTTGATCAGGATTTGAACGATTATCTGCTACTATATTCCAAATTATACTGTCGAGTGTCAGCATTACTCACCACCAGTTATGCATTACAATCAAGTAAACTTGCGGTCAAATATAAAACGTACGGGAAAAAACCTGTTTGTTGTTATGCAACAATGTAACCGACACTTGAGATATCGGGTTCATGACTGAATGCTTTGGCCACGATGCCATGTGGTCGGATCTGCTCTGATATAAAGATTGTTAAAGGAAAATGCAAACCAGAATTATAATAGGTCTCTCATGAACGTACTAAAATGTATGCTATGGCATTGCCCCCTACTGCCTACAATTAATCCTCGCAGCTGCCTCAGAGCTCGCTGTAATGTGCGTGCATTTGCACGTTGCGTGCATATGTTGCATGCCTTGACGTGTGTGGGTGTTTTGTGTGTTGCGTGCTCTGCTTGCGTTTGTGTGTGTTGCTGTGTGTGTTTAGGCGCCCACTGACAGTACTTGCCCCAACAGTCTGTTAAGGCTATACCGGGGATCTTTGTCTTTGTTGCGTCGCGTGCAGGGCGACGTGCGACCTGCGTCTGCGCCACGCCGGTGTCGAGAAGAGGGCGCAGCACGAGCTCCTGCTGCAGCGCGAGCGCGAGAAGGAGCGCGAGCTGCGCGCCCTCGCCAAGGCCGACAAGCAGTTGAAGGCGGCGCGTGACGCGCTGGCGCTCGTGCAGAGCGCGCATGCCAAGACGCACGCGCAGGTGTGCGCCACCCATAAGGGGCGCTGTGCATTGGGCACGAGTCGCACATCGTGATCATCGAGTGTTCTCTCCAGAGACGGCTCCAAAACACGATTCTCCTACTCCATAATCTCTGTCCGCACGTCCGTTGCCGTTATTTTCTTCAGTCACCTTCTCCAGCCCATTGCCTCTCACTACATCACGTCACACATCAGCACAATACTCGGATCGCTCCACTGACTCCCATCCAATCCCGCATCAATTTCAATCTTGCACTCACTGCCTTGAAGATCCTGCATTGATTAGCCCCGACCCACCTCTCAGTTTTCATCCCACTCGCCTCCCCTCCACACTGTCCCCTACTCCTCCCCTCTCATTTCACTCTACTCCTCTCCAGGGTTGGGGGTGTTGTCTTGGCCTATCATTCCATCATGGTCGATAAAGTAAGTACTCTACTTCTTTTTGTAAGTCAAGAGTGGTTGTCCTATGGGTGAACTTTCCCCCATCAAAATAATGTAGAACTTCCACCACTAGCTCGAGGATGTAAACAGACGATGAGCACCAATGCCTCGGCAAGAACTCGAGCAGCGTCTTTTTTAACCCGCAGGTCGACTCCATGCCCCAAGATGACGGCTCCAACGCACACAGAATCAAGGAATTGCGCGATGACATTGAAGCAAAGAAAAGGCAATTGTTAAAGGAGGTACGTGCCACAGTGTTGCGTGTACAGAACCGATTTAAACGCTCTGCAGTAGAAACACTCGACACATACATTCAGACAACACAATTGAGATCAATGTGCACCTGCATTTACAATTGCGACTGCATTTATTGAATGGTGCTGCCCCCTTGTGGATGAATGACGTGAATGTATCATGTTCAGCATGCAATGATATGGCTACATTATGGGACCTCCTTTGCCAGTACCAAAATATAGCAAAACCTATTCTCACATGCGCAATGATGCATTAGTCATAATTTAAGATCGATTTTTATGCTCACGCTCGATGTATGGTCACGCTTGTGAGAATCGGTGATACTTTATACGTAAATGTGATGCAAATGATGCACGAGTGTTAAATTTCGAGCTGCGCTGTGGGCAGCAGGTGGCAGTGCAGCACAATCTATGGTCGACGGACAGGACGAGACGGTGCTCGATAGTTCCACGCCTGTGCTGCCTGCCGTGAACCTGCGCTGTCCAGTGAGGCGAAGTATGCGGAGTAACCCTCATGGCCCTCACAGCTCGGGGAGGCCTTCATCCAGCAGTCGGTTGGCAAAGGACTGCGCAAGTACCGAATGCATATAAGGGCTTAAATAAACAAAGTTTCAAGTTTATTTTGATTAACCAGATGAGAGCTCAAGAGACCAGGATAGTCTCGTTTGCAATGGTGACTGTGGTCACCAAATTGATGAAAGCAATAACATAACAAAGTTCAACAATGAAGCCAATCAAACGCTTGAGCAAAAACAACAAAATAGGAATTAGAGCAAAAAGGACCAAATAGAATTCAGAGAATTCGATGCAGAATAATTTAAACAGAGTGCACAAACAATCTAAAGTAAATAAAGTACATTTCCCACAACAAATCTCAGGTGAGAAAATGTACTTAAAATAGATTCTGGGTAATTGTTGCACTCGTGTGTGAAGAGATAAATAAGGTCACGCGTCAAATGCAACTGCAAGTGACGTTACCATAACGAATCGACAGCTTAGCATCAAACTGTGAAAGAGAAAAGCAACATGAAGGAGGCAGTAAACTGGGACAAGAAAGAAGTTGTGAATGGAATTGCGACACCGACTTGTGACACTGAACAGCAGTGGCCGGGAGGGAGAATTGTTGTTGTGTGGCTTCCGTACGCCGTGCGCCACCGTGCACCACCGTGCATCACCGTGCATCACCGTGCGCCACCGTGCACCACCGTGCGTCACCGTGCGCCACCGTACACCACCGTGCGTTACCGTGTGTTACCGTGCACTACCGTGCACCACCGTGCGTCACCGTGCGTCATCATGCACCACCTTGCACCACCGTGCGCCACCGTGCACCACCGTGCATCACCGTGCGTCACCGTGCGTCACCGTGCATCACCGTACACCACCGTGCGTCACCGTGCATTAACGTGCACCACCGTGGATCATCGTGCATCACCGTGCACCACCGTGGATCATCGTGCGTCACCGTGCACCACCGTGCGTCACCGTGCGTCACCGTGTGTCGCCGTGCACCACCGTGCGTCACCATGTACCACCGTACACCACCGTGCGTCACCATGTGCCACCGTGCATCACCATGCACCACCGTACACCATCGTGCGTCAACGTGCACCACCGTACACCATCGTGCGTCACCGTGCACCACCGTGCATCACCGTGCACCACCGTGCGTCACCGTGCACCACCGTGCGTCACCGTGCGTCACCGTGCACCACCGTACGTCACCGTGCATCATCGTGCGTCACCGTGCACCACCGTGCTTCACCGTGCGTCACCGTGCGTCACCATACATCACTATGCGTCACCGTGCACCACCGTGCGTCACCGTACACCACTGTGCGTCACCGTGCGTCACCATGCACCACCGTGCACCACCGTGCGTCACCGTGCACCACCGTGCACCACCGTGCGTCACCGTGCACCACCGTACACCATCGTGCGTCACCGTGCACCACCGTGCGTCACCGTGCACCACCGTGCGTCACCGTGCGCCACCGTGCACCACTGTGCGTCACCGTGCGTCAACGTGTACCACCGTGCACCACCGTGCGTCACCGTGCACCACCGTGCGTCACCGTGCACCATCATACATCACCGTGCACCATCATACATCACCGTGCACTACCTTACATCATCGTGCGTCACCGTGCATCATCGTGCTTCACCGCGCCGCCCACAGGAGTCACTGAGCGAAGCGGAGGCACGCGCCATGGAGGCTCACCTGGCGGAGGAGGCTCGGCTCGGTGGGCTCCACATGGAGCTGAGGGAGCAGCTCAGGAGCCTGCTCCACCTGGCGCAGGTGAAGGCCGAGGAGCGCGAGCAGAAGTCCCGCGACAGCGCCAAGGCCAAGGTGCGTGCGTGTGTGCCTGCGTGTGTGCGTGCGTGTGTATGTGTGCACCTGTTGCACCAAGCGGCGATGCCTCGGCCAGGGCTTTACGAGCGTCAGTCGACATGGCCAGTGTCCTCATTTATAATAATTCTAATAATATTTTGCATTTATATGGCACTTGTTTAAATCCCTCAGAAACTCATTTACATCGCATTTCATCTCAAACCTTCGTAGGGCACCCCCATTGGCAGGTATCCCTGTGTGGCACAGGGTAACGCAGCACCTGGCCTGCAAGTGAGTATTAGTGTGCCAGTAGGGGGCGATGATTGCTGCTACTGTTCCTATGGAGTTTTTTGTGGTGTCATTTTTCTAATTTGTAAAAAATGTACCGTGACGTCGGTGCACAATGGCCTACAGGATCTTTCACTTCCACTGTGAGTAAAACAGGTGGCGCGTAGTATTTTATTATTCAGACCTCTTGCAATCGAGGAATCCTCTTGAACACAATGCACACTCCATATTCATATTTTAATCTTGGCATGATAATGACAAGACTAAAATATGAATATAGAGTGTGTGAATATGATGATTGTCATAATCATCATGTTAATCCACTGCTGGATGAAGGTTTCCCTAAGCCGATGCCATCACTAAGTCATGAAATCTAGCACTGTATCTATCAAGCTGCACACTCTCTAATTTAATCACGCCATCTCCGTGGCGAATGTCATTTTAGGTGAATTTCCACCTTTAGCTGCTACTCTGAGACATTAGGCTCGATGAGCCCTCAACACTTTTCACTGATGGTCATCCTTGGAAGAGATATAATCATAAGATGATCGCCTCTCTTATTTACCTGCATTTATCCAGATGGAACAAAGTTGCAAAGTGGAAAAAAAATATAGAAGCGCATCGCAAATGTATACGAAGAGACAGACGGTCGAGTGCATAGGCCAGGGAACATTTGCATTGACAAGACTAAAGATGGAATGACAGCCAAGGAGCGAATGTACGAAGAGGATAACGTCCACGGAGAGGGTGTGTACTAGAGTGAGATGGATGGGTGGCGTTGACCTGGGAAGGCCAGCATGCGGCAGTGTATAGACTGTGAATTAAGTTGTTCTTGTCATTGTTAACTGAGGCTAGCGAGTCTCACCACTCTTGCGATGTGCTTTGGGTAGATTCGATACGAACGGATACTGCAGGAGGTCAAAGCCAAGGACCTCTCCATCGTGGACCACAAGAAGAGGCACCAGGAGATCGTGTTGAGGTAGCGACGCGAAGCGCAGCTGCACAGCATGGCTGGCTATGTTTAACAGCAAATTAACCTCTCAGGCCAGATGGCTTTAACCATCCATAGAACAAGAATTGGAATAGGTGACAAAGCCTTTGCCGTTGCAGCACTAACGTTTTGGAACAGCCTCGTTTCCTCCCTTAACACCATAAATCTTCCTTAGAAAAGTATCCCGGAGAAAAAATTAGTGCTGGATACAACCACATTTGCAAATGTGATTTGAACCATATGGCGGGACACCGGGGGCCCATAAGCCCCCGGCTTACGCATAAACTGCGTTGCGACGTCATTTTATGTCTGTTGAAGCCAAACGATGCGGCAATCTATTCCTCTCGACGAGCTCTACACGACGCGTTAATGAAAGTTTCAAAGTTTAGTTTATGACTACGGCAATTTTTGCAACGACGGGTGCTTGGTGCAGAACGAGGAGAGGATTGATTTCTGATGGGTCGCACCATTTATGTGCGCGGTGGGACGGAGTGGTAAAAAAAAATATTAATTGCGATTTTGACGTCTGTTTATTCGGGACCCCAGGGTCCTGCCAAAAGGTTCATTTGTAAATATAATCCTCGACTATGTATCGATAGTTCAATGTTAATGTGCAATTTTATTGAAGGACTGTGTTTTGTCTTGGTGTGGTGTGGGACTGTTTTTGTTGTTGTTTTGCTGCCTTGCCCAAGCTTGCATTTAGTGTTGAAAAATCGGCAGGAATTTACGTACTTATGCAATTTGTACTTTTATACTTTATGATACATTTTTAGTGTCTTGCTTTCCTTCTCTCTGTTTTGCACTCCTATCATATTTTGTGTTGTTTATTGTTACTTGCTGATACGCCCCAAGGGGACATCTGTGAAAAACAGCTTCATAGCTCATCGGATTCTTCCAGTCTAAATAAAGATTATGATTCTGGTTTGTTACTGAATTTCCATTGCAATTGTACCTTTACAAATTGCATATTCAATCAGAATGCTGTGGGAGATAATTTGCCAAACAAAAATGTAATGCGTCTCCCCATTCAAAATGTATGGGCTGGTCGTCATCTCCATCAATAGCCATGATCTAATGGTGGAAATTCCAATTGCCTATGCCAGGAGCACGTCTCTATTAGGCCACCAAAGTTGCCTTCTTACAATCCAATACGAATTTTAACGACCTTAAATAGATGATTGATTCGTTGGGTTGAACCCCATATAATTGTTATCCAGCACCGCTACAGTGTCTTGAGAAAATATTCAAAGACACATGCTAGGAAGGGCATGCCGGTGTTGCATGTACACGAAAAACTGAATATCGTGCGGAGTGGCGGCACAGTCGGAATTCGGCGATCTTTGTTTAATTCCTAGCTATGGCTAACATCTTTAGTGAGTGATATCAGAACCGGCCCTGGGCCTCCTCTAGAATGACTGAGCCTTAAATGAGGTGCATAAACATTACCAATGAGGAGACAAAAGCGGTCGGGCGTGGTGTTGACCACACCACCCCCTCATGTGGCGTGTCGGCCTTTGTGGGTGCTTGCTGACAGTGCTTGCCCCAACAGTCTAAGTAATCTACATGGGGGACCTGTGTCTTTATTCAGTGAACGTTGATAGTGGCGTCGCACCAATCGCCCCTACAGCAGACCCAGGTCATTCTTGCAAACTAGCATTTTGCCTGTCCAAGGACGGGTGTATTGAGTAAATCTGAAACTTGCAAGCGAAAAGCAGACCGCAACGTGATATTCATTGCATCAATGCGTGTGCAATTTGTAAGGGCGCGGTGACAGAGACCTATTTCATTTCAAGGTTATAATCCCTTGTTTATCATGACGTCCTTTTTACTTTGATGTCTCAACAGCGTTATGGAGATCACGTGACGTGAGGGTTCTGCCTTTGTAGTGAGGGTTGTCAGTTGACGACGAGGAGGGGGGAGGAGGCCCCTCGGCCCCCCATGTGGAGTAACGTCACCCACTAATTAATATCAATGGAGGTGGTGTCCATTTGGAGAACGTCACCTTATAATGATTATTAATGAGGGGGGCTGTTCTATGTGGAGTTACGGCACCTGCTCATGATTATTAATGAGGGAGGAGGGTGCTCCATGTGGAGTGACGTCACCTGCTCATTATTATTAATGAGGGACGAGGGTGCTCCATGTGGAGTGACGTCACCTGCTCATTATTATTAATGAGGGAGGAGGGTGCTCCATGTGGAGTGACGTCACCTGCTCATTATTAATGAGGGGGGTCCATGTGGAGGACGTAACCTGTTCATTATTATTATTAATGAGGGGGGCTGGTCAACGTGGAGTGACGTCACGAGCGTTGCACACAGACATTCTTGGCTCATTATGATAGGTAATAATGGGGGGGGGTGTCCATTTGGACGACGTCACCTGCTCATGATTATTAATGAGGGGGGCTGTTCGGTGTGGAGTGACGTCACTTGCGCATGATTATTAGTGAGGGGGGGAGTACTCCATATTGAGTGACGTCACCCGCTCATGATTATTAATGAGGAGGGGTGGGGGGGTGTCCATTTGGAGGACGTCACCTGCTCATTATTATTAATGAGGGGGGCTGGTCGACGTGGAGTGACGTCACGAGCATTAAGGACAGACATTCCTGGGTGATTATAGTCGGTATGAGGCTAAGCTGATCTTTTGAGTTCTCACCTGGGTAAACAAAATAAACTTGAACAGCCTATGAGGTCTACAAAGATAATCTTCGTCTTTGTGGACATCTATGAAAAAGAGTTGCATAGTTCATTGCATTCCTCCAGAATAAATCAAGATTCTGATTCTCTGTATGAGCCAGGGTGTTTTTGGGGTTTGAGGCCCCTGCCTGAGGATCTCACCGCGGGTGGCGTGACTGGCTGCAGGCTCAAGGAGTTTTCCCAGCTCTACAACGTCATCAAGCTGGAGCGCAACAGGTGTGCCAACATGATCCTGGCAGCGGCGCAGCAGAGCGCCGAGACTCGAGAGAAGCTCAAGATCCTGGAGAACGAGCTGGAGATCCTGGTCTCCTCATCCAGCAGCAAGGCCCTGTGAGCCCCTCCCCAGCCACATTTAGCAATGATCATGAGTTGCTTTTGATAGAGCGTGCTTTATTCCGGGGCGTCTTAGAGAGAGCCCTTTGTGTGCGGTAAGTGACTCCCACAATATCTCATCTTGACACATTTGAAAGGACACCCCCAGTGGCAGCTGTCCCTCTGCTGCACAAGGTGACTTATTAGTATGCAAGGGGCGATGATTGCTGTCCTGTGCAATTCCAATTGAGTGTCTGCGGTGTGATTTGTATAATTTGGCAGATTTGGACCATGATGCCAGCACACAATTGCCTGCTCATTTCTAACGACATCAGGGGATCTTTAACGTCCACTCATGAAGCAGACAGCGCGTATTTTTACGGTTAACACTCCTGCACTAATAACCAGAGCAGCCTGCTGGATTCGAACTGCGAACCTCTACAACAAGTGACGAACGCACATCGTTTTGAATTGCAATTTGCATGAATAACTGCAGATGACAGCGACAAACATGATTATTATTGTTGTTGTTATGTGCTCGGTCACCGGCTGCCCAGGATGATCCAGAAGCAAAGGAAGAAGCACCAGACGGTGGCGCTGTCCCGCGACACCGCCCGTGCGGACACGACGCGGTGCGGGCGTGAAGGGCGAGAGCTGGAGGAGCGGCACCAGCGCAGCCAGGAAGCGCTGGCGAGGCTGCGCGCCCACGTCGAGCGTGCGCAAAGCGGTAGCCGGGAGCTACGCTCGCGCTACGAAGAGGCCGTGCGTCAGCGCAGAGCCCGGTACAATCTACCACCCGCGCACGGTTTTAGAATGATCCCTTTCCTTCATCCCTCTCACCGAGCTTCTCACCTTCCTGGCATTTGCTATTGAAGGTCGATATCCAAGCCACACCACCACTTGATCACCACTTCATCTGCTTCAACCGGCCTTTTCACCCCACCTCTCCGTTGTGAGAGATGATCCTCAACAATGCGGATGGCTGGGCAGCTCCGCTGTCATGCGCAGGAGAGGTGGCACACAAACTAAGACGGTGATAAATCAGCGTGCCAATACGCCCATAGCAGCACACCAGTCTGGTAAGCCGGTCCAAGGTAATCTGGACAACTAGTGCCTATGCCAAGCTCATATAACCTGACTCCGGCCATGAAGGTCTGAGGTGACCCTTGAGCAAGGATTGAACTCGCAAGCTTTACTATTGCTAGTCGAGAGCTCTAGTCAGAATGCCGCTCAGTCAGGTCAGCGCCACTGAGATGTAGGTGCTAGGTCAACGCAAAATAATATGATACGTAACTTAACTGTTAGCGTCGTTGTGGAGAATGTAGCAGAATAAAAAAAATATTACTTCGTTACTTATATTCTCCACAACTACACCAACGATGACGTTATTCGAGGTTGTCTATTGAGTGCGGATGAAGCTGACCGCGTGCTGGGGCGGTGGCAGGGCGTCCCAGCTGCTGGAGCTCGAGGGCGAGGTGTGCGCGCTGTACGAACGCCTGCACGTGGGCGACACGGCGGCACGCGAGGGCCACGTGGCGCTGCAGGCCCTGGAGGAGGAGGCGCGCTTCTTGGCCATGGCGCGCCTCGAGGAGACGCGGCAGCTGGGCCTGGCACGCCGCGACGGCCCGAGCCGGCGCATGCTGGACGAGCAGCTCATCGGCCTGCACCTGCAGGTGCCCGTGCTCTGGCAGTTGTGCAGGAAGAGGCAGGCCCAATTGGGTGGCCTTGAGCACTAATACTTATCGTCATCATCAGCAATGCATGATTAAAATAATTCCAATTTAAAATTGCTTTGCGAAAAAGGTGTCCTGCGTTGCTAAAAGGGATGATGGCTGATGGTCTAGACCAGGGATGGGGAATGTCCGGCCTGCGGGCCGATATAAGGTCCGCAAAATCATTTCGTCTGGCCTTGCCAAGGCAACCGCAGGCGGGACTCTAAATTCAATAAATCTTGGAGCAAACCTGGAGAAGCAGTTGCATGTAGCAACATCATCATTACCAGCTAAAATCATTGCACGCCTCCCCAAAATGAAGCAGTTCCAGCCATCACATTAGGGGTGAGTTAATTACATGTTTGACCAGATATAACAGGCTAATTTTAAAGTTGATAATTATGTATGGCCCGCGAATGATGTTATAAATATCCAAATGGCCCTTGGCAGAAAAAAAGGTTCCCCACCCCTGATCTAGACCAACGACTGAATGGCAGCCAAAGGCCTGCCTCACCTGGTTTCCCCTGCGCCTGCTCAGGCAAGTGAATCTGATAGACTGGGGCAGACTCAAGTTGCTCGTCATCATCATCATCAGTGTGTCACGTCATCAGCCATAGTCTGTATTCAGATTGTTTGGCTGCAATAGATTTCTACATGAGCCACTTTTTTGAGCTATCATTTATGGTGAAGTCACATCTGAATAAAAAGCGATTTTTTTTTGTGATTTGTTTACCTTTCCTATACTTTGCACTCCTATCGTGTTTTGTACTGTTTGTTGTAGTAACGTTCTGACCCGCCCTGACTGGACATCTGTGAAACAGAGCTTTATAGCTCATCGGATTCTTCCTGCAGTCTAAATAAAGATTCTGATTTTCAAAAATCGTTCCGTGTGACACCACAGAATGGTTGAAGAGGCCTTTGGAATTAATGATAATGATGTTTTAGTTAAATCTTGGGCAATCCTTTTTTAAATGTCCCCAGTCATGTATAGGGTAAGTCCTTATGTATAGGGTAAGTTATTAAAAGACATACATGCACAGAACTAATGCATGAATGCTTTCAACCTTAGTTGGACAACATTAAAAAAGCCATTTGCTGCAAGTAAGGGGATTGATTGTGTCATGCAATGGCCTTTTTATTGCTCACAAAGATGATGCAGGTGTTCATGCCTGCTCAGATCTTATCAGATTTTGAAATGGAGCAACGTCTTGTCAACTTAGTGACACTACTCTTGCCAAGGTGAATTGCACAACTTGGTCGCTAAATGTGTACATGACACTCGGAAGCCAAGTCCCGTTGCTGCTGCTGTTCTGAGTTATCACGCGGCGGCTGCGTGTGGATGTTGCTGCTGCCCTGCACAGCTGTTGCAGTACCAGGACCACATCCGTGAGCTGGAGGGGCAGCTCGAGGACCCCGAGGGCCGCAGGGTCCGATTCCTCGAAGGAAAGGACCTCTCCCCCAGTGAGCTCGCCAGGAAAACTGAGGAGGTGGGGGCCCTTGTGTTATTACCAATACTGTAGCCACTTGTACAGTAGTTTATTATTAAGCTTTTGCTGTAAGATATACAGTAAGTCCTCACTTGACGCGTGTTCACACAACGCGTTTTTGATATAACGTGGTTCTTCCATGAGGGAATACTTTTCGCACAATGTGCAACGCGCGCCGTTATAGTGCGGAACGGGCACCGTTATAGTGTGGAACGTGCACCATTTTTTTAGGAAATGCGCACGGTTATAGTGCAGAACGTGCACCATTTTCTTAGGAAATGCGCACGGTTTTCTTAGGAAATGCGCACCGTTATAGTGCAGAACGTGCACCATTTTCATAGGAAATGCGCACCGTTATATCATCAGCTCTCCAAACCATAATTCAATGCATGCACCGTTAAATTATATTGACTGATATGCATCGTCAAACCCTTGTTGTATTCTAATATTTGCCTGGGTGGCGATCTGGTTAGAGTGTTCGACTCACAATCTGAAGGCTGGATACACTATGAAATATGAAGAGCATTGACACGAGTGATTTTGAATGCTCACTAACGAGCACCTGCCCCCATGATGTGCGAGACTAAATAGGCATTGTCTTCTCGCTTGCTCACTTTGCGTGTTCACGTTTGCGGTGTTGGGTGAAGCTGGAGGAGCAGCTGGCACACAAGGAGGAGCAGCTGCTGGAGAAACAGCTGGTGCTGGAGCAGGTGTCTCGGCTGGCGGAGCGTGCAGATGCACAGGCGCGCGAGGGGCACAACGACACTCTGTCGCTCGCTGGGAAGGTTTGAGTCCTCCTCTTGTTCCCTCTGCCTGTGGACTTACCCCACCTACCTGTCCCCTCTCATCTCACCCGATTCCCCTTCCCACGCACCGTAGGATTCACGATTAAATTCTCAAAAGGCAACTGTACTTCGCAGCCAAGCGTGCAATTCAGAGATTTCCGGCAGTTGAAACAATGGGACAAGGGTCTTAATTTCTCCCAATGTCTATTCAGAAGTATATAAATCAGCACACCGCAGCATAAATGGGTACACCGCTGATCGGCGATAGGTCACGTACGGTGGGGTAAAGTGTGATTACTCCCACCTCTTCCCCTCCCTGTAGGACAATGCAGGGCTGCGCCTGTACCTTTTTTACGGAACCGCGATCCACCCGCCCCCAAATGCATTCGCCCGCGGCCCGTACGTACATACACATATCGAACTCCTTCCCCACGGTACCAGCCAACGCCGCTAATGGGAGGTGCGTGCCCACAGATGAACGGGGTGCGGGGCCGCCTGCGTGCCCGCACGCGCCGCCTCATGGCGCTCGTGTCGGAGCTGGCCATGCGGCAGGCGGCGGCGCTGCGCCTGCAGCAGGAGGTGCGGGAGCGGGCGGCGCTGGTGGAGTCGTGCCACGCGCGACTCGCCCAGGGGCTGGCGCCCTGCGACGGCGCCGAGCGCGAGTGGCGGAGCGCGCTCCGCGACGAGCACCGGCGCCGGTGCGAGCGGCTGGCGCGGCAGAAGGTGAGGGCGGCGGTGGCGGCGGCGCGGGCCACGGGGACAGGAGGACACGTGGGTTCACGCAGCCCCCCCGCGTTCACCGTTGTTTAGTTTGTTGTCCTTCCTCGCACCTCCGACTGGCACGGTTGGCTACGTACAATGCAAAAGAAATTCAACATGCTTACATACGTATAATTGATATTTATGCCAAAATTTTACCTTCCTATGTGAGGATTTCCATCTCGCAATCAGAAGTGTCTTGAGTTATGTTCCCTTTTTATGGGCAAGAGTTGCTAAGCGTCAGGCTCAAAGGCCCAAACCGTCAAGCGACCAGCGACAAACGGATGAGAGTGGAACGTGTTTCTTGAATTTAGCGATGTTATTATTGTCAGAGCTTGGGGAGAAGAGATGATGGGAGGGAGTTCCACAGTGGAGCAGGTCCAGGGAAGCAGCAGAGAGAAGTTGTAATCTTGCATTTTAGGATCGTAAGTTTTGGATCACGTGGGTTTATGAGACTGCAAGGTGGCAACAGCGTGCATGTGGTGATGGTGGTCACAGATGTGAAGGTGGTCTTAGTCTATAAACATAAAAGATGGTGACAATGTCAATCATAAATGTTGACATTGCCACCGATTATAATGCTGATAACTATGGTGGCGGCGATGATATTAAAGTCAGGATGACAATGATAATGATGATCATGATAAGTTGAAGAAGTAATAATAATTTTAGCCGGCACTTGATTAATTGCCTCAGCAACTGAAAGTGCCTCACGTCGGGTCTCAAACGTTCAATGGGCACTCTCAGCGGCAGCTGTCCTTGTGTGGCACAAGATGACGCAACACTGGTCTGTCAGCGGGAATTAGTGTGCCAGTCGGGGGCAATGATTGCGCTGTGTATCCCAATTGAGTTATTTGTGGGTTATTTTTCAGATTTGCCACATTTAGCCTGTGGCGCCGGCACATTATGGCCTACTCGGTATCAACGACGGTGCGGAAAGTGTCATTGCGGTTAGCGCGCTATGCTTCAAACCCGGCGACTCGAGTTTGATTATCTGAACCAGTTCCGGGGCCTCCCCTAGTCGACTCAGCCTCAAATGAGTACCCGGTTATGCGTGTAAGCAACGCCACTATAGAGACAAAGGCGGCCAGGCGTGGTGCAGGGGTGCTGGCCACCCGCCTCCTCGACTGCTGTGCTGGCCTTCATAGGTGCTAATCGCAAATGGCACTTGATACGGGGGATATTTCTCTCTGCTGCGAATCCGGAGCCGTAGCGACGACACAGTTCTCACAGTTCTCACCGTCCCCTCCTCCGCGCACGCAGGAAGAGGCGGCCGCGGCAGACCGGACGATGGCCGGCGACGGCGCAGCCTCCACCGCCGAGCCGCGACCCAATTGCTACATCCCCGACGACGATTTGGGACTCCCCGTGCCGCGACCCTATGGAGCCCTGGCCCCGTTCAAGCCCAGCGAGACAGGTGCCTCAATGAGGCACATCCGCAAGCCCAGCATCAAGCCCATCGAGATTTAGAGCAGGGACTGCCAACCGCGGGGTCGCGCACACCGACGGGAGGGGCTCCGCGGGAGGCAACTTTGATAGAGCTGGCCTCTCTCCGACTATTTAAGGAATCGATCGCTCCACCCATGATCGGTTCCATTGCTCAACAAATCGGATAACACGACGGTAGTCGAAATGCAACATCCCTAGTGTGTTCCCACGTGTGACGGGGGACGGGAGGTCATGAGCAGAGCTTGATGGCGTCATGGTCGTCGGCCGCGTCGCGCTAGCAGTGACGGCCGCCGAGTAATCGCCGGCAAAAGGAGTCTCTTACGTAAGTTTTAGTGGAGGGATTTACTTGGTTGACTCATCGTGCCAGCTCTCACCTGTCAAGGTAATCGAGCGCCCAGAGGCCACATCCACATATTGGATTCATTTTGAAGTAATTATGTCTCCTTGCACAAATAGTTTGACTGTTCATGACGTGACAGTCTTGTCGGGTGGTGGAGGGTTAATGACAAGAATTTTGGCATAAAACTACCACGTGGCCTAACCCAAAACCAAACGTGGACTCATTGGATTTGCCACAAAAGCTGGGTTCTATGTTCCTCTTCCTGTCTCTCAATGTAATGCCAATCGTGCATCTTTGAGTACTTAACAGTTTCTACATAATTTTTTAAATAAATTTGTATGTTTATGATCGATATACATCTCAACAGTATAACCCCTGCTTGTGTTTTGAGTTGCGTCTTTAAGCACATGGGAAGGCTGAGACGTACATTAGATAAGCTATACAACCATGCAGTGTTGCACCTGTGGGTTTCCTCCCATACGTATAAACACAATCTGGTTGCCAACTGTCCGGGTTTGACCCATAAAATGGGTATTAACATTCATAAATTGTCTGAAAACATCTTAACATATATAGGGGACTGCAGAACTTGGGAAATTGTTGGTGACGGCTCACCACCTGGCTGCTGCCTTCCCAGTTGTCTGTGGTTCCTCCCCGTGCCTCTGAGTTGTTCTCTCGTTGAGAGTGAGTGAGTAATGCATGGCGGCACGTTGCAAGTTAAATTTATTAATGTTACAGTGGCATTCCACTAAAAAAAAAAACAACAAAGCGCCATTGAAGCCAGCTACTCATATGTATTCGATTTGCCAAATCATATTATGATAAATCATTATATTATGAAAATATTAATTTTGACTGCTGTTTTTCAGATGTTTTGTAATTGTATGCTTTGCCAATTTCAGACTAAATGATGGAATATCAACCACATGTTTTGGTTATTGTGGAAGCGATTTGTTTTCGTTATTTGTGTTATCCCAATGGTAACGTGTGGCTGTAGTGTGAAAATTCATGTAGTATGTGTTGGTGCAGTGTAGCAATATATTGAAACGGTGTTGTCACTGAGTAACCCTTATGTCTTGACTTAAAGCTTTCGTGACTGCAGGAATTCATAGATAGAAAAATAATTAAAAAATATCACGAAGTTTTGATCGCAACAGCAACTCTTCCGCTTTATTTTTTCACCTGATGACGATTGCTTGTGTTGCGATCGAAACGTCGTGATATTTTTATTTTAAAAATAATTTTTCTATTTACGTGGCTTGACCGAAAGACCCATATTATTCTTGAATTGTGTGAGGTTTTCCTGCTTTAAAATGTGCATGGTGGCAACATCATTGTTTCACGTGGATAAATTGTACCCATCAGTGGAAAAAGTGTGGTTTATGCTGCCCTCCCAGTCAAAGATGGATATAAGCCACAACCCAGTGGAGCAAGGCCAAGTGTGCTTATGTCTTAAAGTGTATTGATTACCCAACCTTTTCTGCAAATAATAACCTTGTAAACGTATAACAACCGTAACAATGCCTTTAACATATGTGCAGAATTGGTTCGGTTCAGTTTAGTACTTCCCCACCAAGTGGCTTCTGCTGTATCGCAGCAGTGAACAGATATGCAATCACACATGCACACATCGGAGTGAGAGAGAGTCCAGCCACAGCAACACTTCCTGCAATGGGCATGCATGTTGACAGCGATAGGGCTCGCCATTGTTTATGTTGGTGCCTGCGCAGCATTTAAATAAAGACACAAATGCAGAAGCAAACCAACCGCTTGCTTTGTTTTTTTAACGGTCGCCGATTTATGTATTTTATCCAGCTGCAACGTCAACTTGAGAGTCATTGTGAGGATATCAGACATCATTGATCAAATCCAACATTCACAGCAGGTGAGATCCCATGGCGAGGTAGATCACGAGATGGGTGTGGAGCATGGGAGGAGGAAACACAAAGACATCGATATTACCCATTGGGCCATCATTCTTTCTGGCCATGAGCTGAAGCAGGTAGCTATTGCAATTCATTTAATCAACACAGTATGACCAGACAGCAGTACGCATGAGAGATGCTATTAGCATGAATTTGCATTTCTTACATGACTACATTACATTGCATTACCACCGGTCATCATTCCAGTGAAGAGTCCTGCCCAAGCCAACTTACTTTTATTAACAGTTAACATGGTGTCTCTAACGCCAGCTTGAGTATATGTGTGCTCTCATCCATGTCCCTCTTGCAGTTTATCTGTGTACTTCCAGGCATGCAGCAACTCTCAGCTTTTGTTCCATTTTCTCGGTTACTGCCCTTCATTATAATCCATTTGCCATAGCAGGGAGCATGCATTGATTAAATAAAAATTCGCAAAGTGATCCATATATTGTAAAAAAAAAATCTGATATCAATATCCCATCGATTGCATTTACTAGAGCAGGGCGTGGTGTGCAATATCGTCTGTCACATCTCGTATCCCGTGTCTAAATCGTTAAGAGTAATGGTAGTCACCCCTTTTCCATTACCATAGTGGAAAAGGCAATTAATGGCAAAATGCACTCACCGGGTTAAATGGAATAACACCGAGGTCAGTCCTCTAACCAGAATGCCACCACTCGACACAACTTACATGCACAATGTCACGGCGGATACTTAAAGGCCAGACGTCAGCAGTCGTGGCTACTCGATTTCCAAGCTCACCATCTGATGAAGCTCAAAGTGGTTCGAGCAAAACGTCCTCGTAAATTTATTTTAAATTCAGTGATGAAAAGTCTCAAGCCACCGGTGAAGAGGAGGAGCTCTATCGATCAGCACGTTGGCACGTATCGTTCATATCTGTAAACGTGACAATGTTTGTCAGGTGGCGGAGGGTTTTTGGCATAAAAACTACGAAGTGACTCTCCCAAAAAACACAAATTTGGATCCATATTGGCTAATAAAACCTAGGTTTTAAGTTTACGCAGATGGCCAATTTAATATTATTGGCTGCCAGGCAAATGCTGTCAGCGAGCACCTATTGTAGCTGGCATTGCGTGCGAGGGGATCGGGTGATGTGGATGTTGAGCGCATCACCCACCGCACCGGGTACAGTGGCTTTAGGGAAGCGTTTACCTCGGGTAGTACAGGCCAGGTGCAGGTACCAATTGTTCTCAGATGGTGGATAGGCACGAATTGAAGCCAGGTGCCAGCATTATAGAGAGAAGTGTGTCAAACGCCGCACGATCGCTCCCAAACCGAACGCACGCCACTCTGCTCTGTGCACTTCTGCTTTGTGCTGCGTGTGAGTGCGCTGTGTGCGCAAATGCGGCTTGGAGCCGTCTATTTACTGAGCGATCTGCATCGGTAATGTTTTTTGACGAACTGCAGACAGCTCCAAGTTCTGCTTCGCGCAAAGAGCTGACCAAAATGTTAACAAACAACGGGACTTTGCGGTATGGGGAATTCTACTGAGTTTGGGGAAGCAATGGTGATATTTTTCCACATCAAAACACCACAGAGAGAAAGGTAATGTATTACAACCTCGGTGGGTACCGCACCCTGCAGCCAGTCCACGCAACTCAAGTACTCAAAGGCCGCATTGCTCATGCAGCCGAGGTAGATAACGCAGGCCGAGCATTCTCGCAGAGGGTGGAGAATGCAGCCTTGGCAATGCGAGCAGCCCCGCAGCAACACGTGGGCGGCCACCTCCCTCGGACACAGCCCGGAACTTTGAGCAAGGTCCCCCCGTGGACAGATTCGAGTAAATGACTCGCAAGCAGCAATACAAATAAATACGCAGACAATTACGCCTCCTTATTCCCATGTCTCTCCCTCCACACAAACAAAAAAATAAACAGATCTATTTTTATTTACACATCCCATCAGCAGCCTGCTTTGAACCATCGGTGGACAAACCTATTTCAGTATCTCATGGACCCTAGGCGGTATCTCATGGACCCTAGGTGGTATCTCATTGGCCCTAGGCGGTATCTCATGGACCTTAGGCAGTATCTCGTGGGCCCTAGGCGGTATCTCATGGACCTAGGCCGTATCTCGTGGGCTTTAGGCAGTATCTCGTGGACCCAAGGTGGTATCTCATGGACCCTAGGCCGTATCTCGTGAGCTTTAGGCAGTATCTCATGGACCCTAGGTGGTATCTTATGGGCCCTAGGTGGTATCTCGTGGGCCCTAGGCCGTATCTCGTGGGCCCTAGGCGGTACCTCATGGGCCCTAGGCGGTATCTCATGGGCCCTAGGCGGTATCTCGTGGTCCCTAGGCGGTATCTCGTGGGCCCTAGGCGGTATCTCGTGGGCCCTAGGCGGTATCTCATGGGCCCTAGGCGGTATCTCGTGGGCCCTAGGCGGTATCTCGTGGGCCCTAGGCGGTATCTCATCGGTCCTAGGCGGTATCTCGTGGGCCCTAGGCGGTATCTAGTGGGCCCTAGGCGGTATCTCATCGGTCCTAGGCGGTATCTCGTGGGCCCTAGGCGGTATCTAGTGGGCCCTAGGCGGTATCTCATGGACCCTAGGCGGTATATCATGGACCCTAGGCGGTATCTCGTGGGCCCTTGGCAGTATCTAGTGGGCCTTAGGCGGTATCTCATGGGCCCTAGGCGGTATCTCATGGGCCTTAGGCGATATCTCGTGGGCCCTAGGCGGTATCTCATGGGCCCTAGGTGGTATCTCATGGGCCCTAGGCGATATCTCGTTGGCCCTAGGCGGTATCTCGTGGGCCCTAGGCGGTATCTCATGGGCCCTAGGTGGTATCTCATGGGCCCCAGGCGGTATCTCATGGGCCCTAGGCGGAATCTAGAGGGCCCCAGGCGGTATCTCGTGGGCCCTAGGCGGTATCTCGTGGGCCCTAGGCGGTATCTCGTGGGCCCTAGCCGGTATCTCATGGGCCCTAGGCGGTATCTCGTGGGCCCTAGGCGGTATCTCATGGGCCCTAGGCGGTATCTTGTGGGCCCTAGGCGGTATCTCATGGGCCCTAGGCGGTATCTTGTGGGCCCTAGGCAGTATCTCGTGGGCCCTAGGCAGTATCTAGTGGGCCCTAGGCAGTATCTCATGGGTCCTAGGCGGTATCTCATGGGCCCTAGGCGGTATCTCTTGGGCCCTAGGCAGTATCTCGTGGGCCCTAGGCGGTTTCTCAAGGGCCCTAGGTGGTATCTCATGGCCCCTAGGTGGTATCTCGTGGGCCCTAGGTAGTATCTCATGGGCCCTAGGTGGTATCTCATGGACCTTAGGCGGTATCTCATGGACCTTAGGCGGTATCTCATGGGCCCTAAGCGGTATCTCATGGGCCCTAGGCGGTATCTCATGGGCCCTAGGTGGTATCTCATAGACCCTAGATGGTGTCTCGTGGGCACAAGGCGATATCTCGTGGGCCCTAGACGGTATCTCATGGACCTTAGGCAGTATCTCATGGGTCCTAGGCGGTATCTCGTGGGCCCTAGGCGGTATCTCGTGGGCCCTAGGCGGTATCTAGTGGGCCCTAGGCGGTATCTCATGGGCCCTAAGCGGTATCTCATGGGCCCTAGGTTATCTCATGGGCCCCAGGTGGTATCGGGTGGGCCCTAGGCGGTATCTCATGGGCCCTAGGTGGTGTCTCATGGGCCCTAGGCGGTATCTCGTGGCCCTAGGCGGTATCTCATGGGCCCTAGATGGTATTTCGTGAACCCTAGACGGTATCTCATGGGTCCTAGGCGGTATCTCATGGGCCCTAGGTGGTATCTCATGGGCCCTAGGCGGTATCTCATGGGCCCTAGGCGGTATCTCATGGGCCGCTGGTGGCCCCCTGTGGGAGCGCTGATTACACGCAACAGAAGCGTGCTGCGTTTTGTGGGATGGCGCCGTCAGCTGTGCTGCTCTTGCAGTGGGAGGCAGGTGAGCACACGAGCCTCTCTTTTTACGGCCCCATTCCTCTTCACCAACTTTACGAAGGCCACGGAGATGTTTACAATTTGGGGAACCACAGACTCCCGTTTCTCTCAAAGCTCCCCCGGTTCGCCGAAGCCAAGCGAGGTGCAGCCCGGAACTTTGGGCAAAATGCTCGACGCAGGGTGCGACTTCAGACCGATCCCTAATGACCCCCAACCTCGAGCTCACTCATGCGGATTCGAGAGTCAGAGTATCTGCCTTGCCTTTGCCAGCATAGGCCAAGTGCCCTAAGCCAGTTGTGGAGATTCCACATTCCTGGGCCAGTTTTCAGTCTCTTCGTAGAAAAACCTCTACTGATTTCCCATTAAGTGATAGTAATTTTAATTGAGGTGGACTTCATTTGATTCGTTATATTTGAACGGGCAACCTAACAGAATTATCTGCCAAAATAAATATCAACGTCCCATATTTGTCTCTCCACGTAAAAACAAAAGTTTGTTTTACACAACCCGTTGGGCGTACAGCCTTGTGGGAGCACATACACGCACACTCTATGCAGGCTTCAATATTCAGTGTATCATCAACACAGTCTGGCTTGCTGAAAACAATGCTGGTGAACTGCTGGATGTTCATAGGTAAGAAATGGGGGTCTTACACTGACGCAAAACCGCGTCCACTCCAGTAACATGCAACACAAGAACATTGGCTATGAGCCAAGCAGTTTTTAGCAACGCACTCACTAGACCTGCAACACAAGCATTATTGGGTTGACTCAGCTATTCATCATCATCATCCCTCAGGGGTTAATAAAAATGAACACCGCTTTGTGGGGAAGTTAAGTGTGGTAGTCCTATGGATAGACTCCCCTCCGCCAAAGGAATGTCCAATTTCCACCACTGGCTCAGGGCCGTAAACAGGAG